GTTTAAGATAAATGTTAGAACTACATCTGGAATAATCATGTCAGTGGATTAAAAAGCAGCACGATTAACATTAGAACAGCTGTGAAGAGCAATGCCTTTCATTTTACAAATGTTGCATTTGTACTAGTAGATATAAATAAGCTTCACTGAGAGGAATCCAAGTTACTATCTGATTTGTTCATTTCTTCATATTAAAAAAAATTCCTTTTGAGATCAGCCTGGGCAACATAGGGATACCTGCCCCCCCCCCCCCCGGCACTATGTCCCTGCTACCATCTCTACCCCACTTCCCACCCCAACATACACCCAAATCCCAAGGATTTTCCCTTACAAACACTCTAGTTTGATGTTTGAGGTCAACCAAAATCTGGCATCAAATCCTCTCTGTGGAAACTCCTACCCTAACCCTGGTAATTTTCCACTTCCCAAGACAGATGTCACTGCTGTCTCTCAGCACTCTTTGCTCTGCCTCGAGATCAAACCCACCTCCCCAGTACGGTCTTGCTACCGCTTCCAGAAAGGGAATGTTGGTGCTCACTGGTATTTTTACAGCATTTCTGTCTTTAGCCTTTACTTGGCAGTTATTAGCTAACTTTTTAAATGTACCTGCACATGCTATTAACTCCCAGCTCAGCCCGTAAGCGCCTTAAGGTTAATGATACACATTTACATATAACAGGTACTGGAAATATTTAAGATAGTCACACTTGAAATGTTTCATTTTCAATCTTTTAACAAGTACCTGATAAGCCATCTCAAAGTTTAAAAGGATACTCAAATCTATTACGACAATAAACAATTACTTTACAAAGATACCAAGAATGCCCCAGTCCCTTTTAGGAAAATCTAAGGATGAAGATTTTTAAAAACAACAGTGGGACAAAAAGCCATAAAACACTGAATCTTATATCCAAAGAACATTTTAGTTTTTGCAAGAACTCTGTGGGGATAAAGGTTTGGAATACTGCAAATTTCTATTTTAAATGTCAAGAATAGAAATAAGCAAATAGAGTCAATCAAATTTAAGAGAACAGAAAATATGTTTCCACTCCTGGTTACCGATGTTAGAATGTGGAACCATTTTTAGTGTCAACATATTAGATGACAGTTTTTCACAGCGGAAAAACCTATTACAGGGATCTTTAACTGGAGGCTCACTCTGGATATATATTCTGTGCACATTGTAATTTATTTTGAATACCGTATTAAGATAACATTTTTGCAATAATGTAATTATTACAAAGTTAGTTTTTTGTTCTTTTTTTGAGACAGGGTCTTGCTCTGTTGCCCAGGTTGGAATGTGTGGTGTGATCACAGCTCACTGCAATCTCTGCCTCCCAAGTAGCTAGGTCCACAGGAACATGGCACCAGATTCTGCTAAATTTTGTATTTTCTGTAGAGACAGGGTCTCGCTATGTTGCTTAGACTGGTTTCAAAGTCCTGGGCTCAAGTAATCCAATTGCCTTGGCCTCCCAAAATGCTAGGATTACTGGCACAAGCCACTGCACTCAATTCTCTGCAGCTACTTACTTCTCCTAAACATCAGCTCTCTCATCTCTGAAATAGGGCTCTTCTTGCCTACCTCAAATATTGGCTGTAAAGACGAAAAAAAAAAAAAAAAAAAACAATGCAAAGATAATGATTTTGCAGTTTCTGGTCCATAACAAGTACTTAATACTTCTTTTGGACACATATTTAATAAGTGCCTACATGTACCATGTGCTGATATAGGTGCTGGGAACTCCTAACAGAAGAAACTCCTTTTTGTCATGGAGCTTATAATGTTGCTGCCAGTGGCAAACAAGTTGACACAGCTATGTCAGGTGGAAGGAAACAAACGCTATGAAAATAACCTGGGGTAATCAGACCGAGTAAGGGAGGAGTGTGCGTGCACACATGCGCCATCTTACACAGGGTGTTAAGTGTCCCTCCTAAAGAGAACCTGTATGAGGTATGGGGAGAGGAAACACCCAAGGCAGAGTCCCGGGGTGGGTAAGCATGCTTGGAATGTTTAAGGATCCGGAGGGATTGAGGGGTGGGGCAGCCAAGCGGGCTGTGGGAGGAGAGGAAGGATCTAAGGACAGTGATGCACCAGGGGCAAGGTGTCTTTTTGAAGGCCTTGGTAAGCTCTTCGGTTCTTCTTCTTTTTTTTTTTTTTGAGGTGAGTCTCTCACTGCTGCCCAGGCTGGAGTGCAGTGATGGGATCTCGCCTCACCGCAAACTCTGCCTCCCAGGTTCACGTGCTTCTCCTGCCTCAGCTTCCCGAGTAGCTGGGATTACAGGCGCACTTCACCACACCCCGCTTTTTTGTATTTTTAGTAGAGACGGGGTTTCACTATGATGGCCAGATTGGTCTTGAACTCCCGACCTCGTGATCCACCCATCTCAGCCTCCCAGAGTGCTGGGATTCAGGCATGAGCCACCCTGCCGGTTTTTTCTTTCTTTTTTTTTTTTTTTTAAGAGAAGAAACCGTTAAGGAACTGTGAGGAAGTGAGGTGATCTACATATATTTGAAAAGGTAACACACAGTATCTATTATAAAATGCTGTAACCATAAGAGATTTAATACACAGGAAATGAAAATTGCCTATCATTGTTCTTTAATCTAGTTTAAGTGATTGAGCCTTAGGAAACTGCAGTTTCCATTAGACAAAGATGGTGGAATACTGCCATAAAATTCAATCTGACTTACTGGATACGGTGAGAAACAAAAGCAAAAACAGCTTTAGAATATTATTGAATTTTAATCCCAGACACAGGAGTCATTAGCTGCATTCTTACACAAGTTACTTAACTTCGTCTTTCTTGGGTTTCCTCTTATTTGTAAAATGGGGATAACAGGATATAACCTAAGCCCAAGTTGTACTGATGATTAAATGAAATATATATATATAGAGAGAGCCTTCAGTATAGTGCCTAAAAGCTTAATAAGCGGGCCATTAAGAAGGGAATTGCCTCTTTTGCACTACCGCATCAAACCCTTTTACAACTATTTATTTCTCTAACTGCAACAGCATTCATTACTTAAGAGACCATAGCTTTGGATCAAGTTACTACTCCTTGCATTCAGAAAGTTCATCTTCAAAAAGGCAATTCAGTAAGTAAATATTCTATGGCTCTAAAAACAGCTAAGGCTGTTGGAGAACTTAAAGTATCTGAGAGTTAAACATTTTTTATGTTGTCTACCAAGACTATTACATTTCCTCCGTCAAAGTAACTTAATTTTAAAAATGAACTGTGTGCTTGTTAAATGAAAAGGCCAGAAGCTAATGGTCACTCAGCGCTCGTTCGAAATTTTTAGTGCTTTCAGTACAACTCAAAACCAGAGGTGCTCCTCAGAATTTGCGCGAAGCAACGTTTTACAAAAAAAAATCAGCTACGTTCACTGTTAAGTCAGAAGACAGAATGATTAACAGAAAATTTCTGCCGCGAAATACTCTCACAATAGACACCTGGATATTACATAACTTTGCATTATTATCAGAATGTCATAAAGCATTTGCAACAAAAGGCAGATGCAGATTTAGGAACTGCCGACTTCTACAGATCAAAGAGGACTTCATTGTTGCCGTTCAGGACATTCTTCCAATAACTGCTGGAAGTCCACCACACTGCACAGAAAGAGCTCTTCCCTTTGAGTTCTTTCTTCATCTGCGAAAATGTTGACTTCTGCGTCTCCGACTACGCAAAGGCGCTTTATCTCCTACTGCGGCTTCATTCCCTCACGGAACACGGATGCCATCAAGGAGGAAGCATTTCGAGCACGACTGACGCTCCCTTATTGTCTGCTAAGCCGCCGCGCTCGGGTCTCGCTACGATTCGCTTTCAGAATAACGGGAAGGTGCCAAGACCGGTTCCCCGGAGGCGCGCCCCCCGCGCGGCCCGGGCCCCCCACGCCCGCCGCCCCGGTGGTGCGCACGCATGTCCGCGCAGGCTTCCCGCCCGGCGAGCGCGAGGCTCCTTTCCGCCGCGTTGCTTTCCAGCCTCCCAACAAATCACGAACACCGAAGGGAGCCACGGCGGCGACGGGAGATGCGTCGCGCGTGGTTCCCTCGGCGACGAAGCGGGAGCCCGGCACGCCGACCGAGGGCGCCCCGCGCAGAGTCCCGCAGAGGCGGACGCCGGGGCGCGCGCCTCAGAAAGCCTCGAACTCCTGTCCTCGGTGCGCCCCCACCCCTGCAGCCGAGACCCGCGCTGCTGCAGGCCCGACGGCCAGCGCAGGCCGACCAGCCCTCTACACGGCGGGCGACGCGCCAGGGCACCCGCCGAAACGGCCAGACTCAGACCCTAGGTGGCTGCCGCCCCCAGCGCCGCCCCCGCCCCACGCAGGCGCACTCCGGGCCCCGCGCCTCCCCCACCGCGCGCCGGCGGGGGCGGAGCGACCCTCAGAATGGGCGTGGCCACCAGACTCGACGCGCGCACGCGCTTTGCAGCCCCACAGCTACGTGTCGTGCCACGTGACGCCCACCCCGAAAGTCCCCCGTGAAGCAACAGGACGTTAAAAAAATTTCTCTTCTGCGGGGTGGATGAGAGGTTCTCAAAAAACTATAGTAACGAGGAGCGAGGCGGAGGCAGCGCCGCCGCGTCCCGCTGGGATTCCTCTCGCCCGCCGCGCCGGCCACGACCGCGCCGCGGCCCCGCCCGCCCCGTGCCGTGGAAAGCCCCGCGTCCCCCCGCACCCCGTGGTCGACAGCCTCGCAGCCCACACCCTCCCGCCCCGGGCGCCCGGCACGGCGGCGACCCCGTCCTCTGCTCCCAGGCCCGGGCCCGCCCAGCGCCGCCGCCCGTCACGCTCCCGCCGCCCGCCCCGCCGAGGAGGCAGGGAGGAGGTAGCCAGGCGCCAGCGGCGGCCAGGGTGGGGGGCGGCGGGCAGCGGGCAGCGGGCTGCGGGAGCGCGCCGGCCCGGCCCCGCTAACGGCCGCCCTGCGCGGCCCCGCCCGCCGCCCGCCCCCGGCCCTCCCCCCGCCGCCGCCCCTCCCCCCGCCGCCGCCGCCGCCGCCGCCGCCGCCGCTGGCAGCGCCGCCTGAACTGAGGCGAACTCCGCCGCCAAGTGAGTGAGGAGGAGGAGGAGGAGAAGGAGGAGGAGGAAGAGGAGGAGCGCAGTCAGAGCGCGGCGGCAGCGGCAGCGGCAGAGGCGCCGCGGCGGGGACCAACCCAGAGAGACCCCCGAGCCCGCGGCACAGGCGGCGGCGGCGCTCAGCGGGCGCGACCAGCCGAGCTAGCGGCGGCCCGGCTCCTCCTCGTCCGGCGCCGGCGGCCCGCGCCCCGCGCCCGCACTCGGCCAGCCGAGACCCGCCTCCCGCCGGCCTCGTGAGGGACGCGCCGAGCCGGGCGGCCGAGAGCGGCGGCGGCCGGGAGCGCGTCGGGCCCGGGCGGAAAGTGCCTGCGGGGGGCGGGCGAGCGCGCGGTGCCGGCCGCCCCGGGGCTCGGCGCGGGAGCCGGAGCGGGAGCCGGCGCGGAGCGGGACGCCGGGTCCCGAGCGGCCGGCGGCCGGGGCTCGCCCCCGCCCCTCCCTCCTCTCCGGCGGCGGCGGCGGCGGCGGGCGGAGTGAGCTGCGGAGCCTGGAATATGGTCGGGGAAATGGAAACGAAGGAGAAGCCGAAGCCCACCCCAGATTACCTGATGCAGCTGATGAACGACAAGAAGCTCATGAGCAGCCTGCCCAACTTCTGCGGGATCTTCAACCACCTGGAGCGGCTGCTGGACGAAGGTGAGCGCCTCGCGGCCCCGGCCCGACCCCCGCCGGGGCGGCCCCTGTCCCCGCTCGGGATGGTGGGGAGGGCGGGAAGGTCACGGCCGGGCGGGGCCGCGCGCCGGGGCGACGGGGAGGCCGGGAGGGCGCACAAAGGAGGCGCGGGGCCCGGCGGGCGGGCGGGCCGGGGTGGACCCGCCGGGGCCGGACGCCCCCCGCCCGGCCGGGACCCAGCGCGGCCGGCGCCCAAGTTGGTGCGGTGCGGGGGGCTGCCGGGCGGACGCCGCGGCCCCTCTGGCTTCGGCGGCCGCGTTTCCGAGAGGCCGGCGGGGGCCGCGCGCGCTCGGTGGTCCTCGCCGAGCCCTCTCGAGAGCAGGCCCACGCCGCGCCGCCGGCCTGGAGGACGCGCGTGTCCCCGGCGCGGGCCCCGCTCCTCCGCCCGCTCTCCCGAGCCTGCCCTGTGCGGACCCCCGCCGCCCCGCGTTCGGAGCTCTTCCTCCGGGTGGGACCGAAGCGGGGTTCCGTGCTTGGGGGATTGGTGCCGCGGGTAAACAGTAAGTGGAAGTCAGCGTGGGGCTCGTTAGTTTGAGAACATTCGGTAGGAGACCGAAAGTAAAGCCGGCGTAGCCGACAGGGAGGACGAAGTGACGGCGAAAAGCGCTTTTTTTTCCTTTTGTTTGGGGAAGCGAGAACTGTTAGGGAGTTGAACTTCACTTTTCGGGGGTGGGGGGGGGTGGAGTGCGAAATACCGCGATGACAGATCGGAGCGCAGCCTGAATTAGGAAGAACTTGGGCGGAGGGTTTGCTCTCGGGGACGCAGCCGCCTGAGTTTGCAGGACAGGGAATCGAGACGTTTGGAAAGGGCGAAATAAAATTGAGCCGAAGTTTCCGAAAAGCTGTATGGAGCGCTGTGGGGAGCGAAGAATGACAAGAAGATTAATGTTGACCAACTCTGGGATTTCCTTAAGAAGTTCTCATAGCAGTACCTGGAGTATTAATTTCTAGTAGCTGTGGGTTTCTGCGGACGCCTAGAGAAAAAAAAAAAAATGACCACACACAAAAAAATCTGTTTCGAAAATCGACTAGCTAGGATTTTTTTCTTTTTCTGCTTAGAGGCACCACCGGAGGACTGTATGATGGAAACCAAAAACTGTAGGTTGAAGAGATGAACAGTGGAGTTTAGGTTTTTCGCAAGAATTTCGAGATTTTAAAAATAGAGTCGGGGAAAAGGAGTTTGAAGCTTGGGGAGTTGGAATGTCACTAAAGAACAAAAGGCCGGAAATGTTTACATGATAAAAAGATGGTTAAAGAAGAATCCCAGGAGTTTTCGTTGTCTTGAAAGTCGTACAAACAAAAGTAGGAAATGGTTAGGTGTTACGGCTTTCTTGTCGTTTTTGCTTCCGTATGTTAAACATGCAGCACTCACCCACATTGAAATGGGCATTTTCCACTGTTGGAACAACAGATCTGTTAATTTCAGATTGCTCCAGAGGAAACTTCAGCTGTCCCTTTAAGGGGTTCTGCTTTTCCTATTTGTGTTGGCATTTGAAAGATTGTGGAGGCAGAAAACTTTCTGGAATGTCAAAAAAAAAAAAAAAAAAAAAAAAAAAAAAAAAGCTGGAACTCTTAAATTGCGTATTTCCGAATGTGAGCGCTAAGGGGCGCCAGTTATTTTTTTAACCATGAAAATGGTTGGAACGAAATGTGTAACATACACAATAATCTGACCTATATTAAATTTAGTTGAAACTTAAGTTATGGATTATTTGATTTGTCATCACGTGTTCCTATAGTGTTCTCGAACATTGAAAACACTTTTCTTAAAATTATTGGCACAAGTTTATGACGTTTTAAAAATAACATTTTCTCCTTTTGCATATTTTGGTTAAAGTTTTAATGGTGCTAATAACAATTTCTGTTAAAAGATTTTTTTCTTGAGTGCAGTTGTTTAGAAGGAATCCTTTATCGACGATAAAATGAAAATAGACCTTGACAATGTTTAGGGTTAATTAAAATTAAATTCCATTCTTGAAATGTTGAATTCAGAGACTATAGGAGATTCAAAAAAAAAAAAAAAGGTTTGAAAATACTTCACCTTAGTATACTGCTTAAAAAGCTGCATACTTCTGAGTTTCTTTAGTTTGAAAGGGCTTCTCACTTGTGCTTTTATGTTGATCTAAAATCTCTTCATAATTTAGAGCTGGTTCCTTGTTATCAAGTTTCTAACCTTTTGCTTTAATAATTTTTAATTTTTCAAATCCAGAAATTTGAATTATTTCACTATTTTTAACCAAGGTGTATTTCTCTCTGGTTGGAAATAGTAATCGTTTTGAGTTTAAAATGAAGGAGACCGAGAGGAAATCTTATGTTTGTTTCCCCTTCCCCTTGTAATGTGGCTTATTCCATCTCTCATATTACTCTAGTTTTAGCCTTGTCAACTCCCAGTGTAAAGATTGCTTCTGTATGGCAGATAATATGTTTAAAATGGGCAATATAATGACAAGGAAGTTTGACTGTTTTTTATCAGACCAGTACAAACATGCAGGAAAAAGGGCTATTCCTTAGTGTGGAATAAGCTGTTTCCTGTAATTGTTAGCCTTATTATAAACTTAATTTGACTTAGGAAAAATATTGGTTTCTGAAGTCCATCACTTTTTTTTTTTTTCCTGGATGATTTGATTGTGAAATTTGGCAACTTGTGTTTTACCCCTTTGTGGTTTGTCATTGTCCAAAACAAATTAATCATGACTTCTGTTTCTGGTTAGGCATTACTTTTTGTGTTGTTTCTTACCTGTAATGCTTGGCTGAAAAATTACTTTTAAATTTAGATAAAATTTAGTAAAAATTTTACTTTAGTGATTGGCTTAATGAAGTTAACATATTATACTTAAGAGTAGATGTATTTTTTGATAATTAGGAATTTCAAATGAGACTTTTAAATTTTTTATTTTAAAATATTTTTCAAAGAATAAGCTTTTAAAAAATTTGTCACCTTACGAATTTCCATTTGGCAAGTTACAAATTTGTGGATTGTGTTGGTTTTCCTAGTTGATGAAGACTTGAATGTTTTAGAACGAGTATTTTAATTCCTTGCCAAATTAACCTTTAGCCTGTATCTTGACTGTGGACAGTCCTTTTGTTTTACTGCTTGTTTTTGTTTTTGTTTTGTTTTTTGTTGTTGCAGGTCGTGGAGGTGCGTGTATCAGCTCTTCCACTCAATTATCTTCAACATGGCTGTTTTTTAAAGTTGTGAATACATTCTAGATTGGGCCCATCATATAAAGGATATAAACTTGAGTTTGAAACCTTTTATTGAAGATGCAGATGATTACAGGATTACAGATAAAACCTAGGTCTTAAACTGCTCTACCTTTAGAGAGAAGTTTTCAACTGAACCCTGAGAGCAATTAATACATAGTTTTTAAGAAACCAATCTTTTTTATGAAACTGAAACAGCAGTAGTTAAATGGAAATTGTCTTAATAAATTTTTATAATTTACAATTGAGAAGAAGTACAGTCTATTAGACTTAATAATCCTGAATTAGGAGAAAATGGAGAATTAGTATCTTAAAAGCAGATTTTGAGTTTTCAATTTTTTAGGTAGAGGAGGGGTTAAAACCACTAGCTAATATGGAAATAAAAAATGTGTAATGAGGAAGAACAGTCTAAATCTTTTTATCAGAAAAATTAGCTTGTGGCTCAGAAAAAGAGAGCAGATGGATTAGAATGCCACATTACTGATTTGAAAAATATGTTTTCATTTTCAGATGGTCTTTTCATTTGTTTTTATAATAAATTTCCTTTCTGACCTCAGTTTAGTTTCTAACCTGCCTGCTCCCTCTCTTTTAAATATATGAGTAAAAATATTTTGTTAAAACTTGCTTTAATAGTTGACATTTTTTCGTGTTAATGTTTGTTTTCACTTCTTTTGCCTTAATTATTGGATGTATTTACTGTTTTCTTACCATTATTTTTTTTTTTCCTGAGAACTCATTTACAAAAGCTTTGACTTAAAAATTATATGGTTGTTGATATTTAGAGGTCTCTTGCCATAGAGATTTCTTACAAAAATGTTTTCTTTTTGTCTGAATAAGCAATTATTGTTGTCAGTAATCACCTGTAACAAACAGATTTTACTTAAGGTGAAATAATCTGTTCTTTAGGAACTAAGGTTTTGCTTTTGTACACAAGCCCTTGAATTAGTTGTAGTAAGAAGGAAGCAACTATTTATAATCACTTATTTCCATGATCTTTTCTCACCCAGGAGGTGTCATCAGCTATGTATTGGCAGTAATGGAAAAGCTCGTTTGTATCACCATGGGGTATTTATTAAATATTCATTCTGTACTTTTAAAGCTAAATTCCCCTGTAGGTGGAAGGTGATTCCTTTGTAAACTATCCAGTTTACATGTTTTATAGTAAAAGTTGTATCCGACTGTAACACACTTGAGTTGATAGAAATAGATCTCTTTGCTAGTCACATTTACTAGTATATTTGGGATGAACACTTTCTTACATGACTGAGAATGTCAAGTTAAATCAAGTTAATTTGACTTCTTAAATGCTTTATGCACATTTTATTTCTGTTACTGCCTCACTAGTCACTGTCACTTTCCTGGAGCTGATTGAAATTGGTCAGTTTCCCATAAGAGCAAATGGTTTTTGTTTTCTTTTTTCAGGGAAATAGATTTCTGTGACAAAAGAAGTGAAATATAATGAAATATTCATGCTTTGACCTGGCCTTCACTGAAGCATGATTCAGATTTTTGTTTTTGAGACCAATATACTTAGACATGTAAGGGCTTTCCTTTTGTTTTTTGGTGTCCTTTTCAGTTTGGGTTTGATATCAAGGAAATGAATTACACCAGTGTGATCATTGGGGTAACTTTTTATAAACTTACTGGAACTACAGTTTAATTTACTTGAGAAATTCAGTGTAGCTAATACATTTGTTTGATTTATTTGTTTGATGTTACAGTTGTAAGCAAAACTTGCTCTTCTCTGTTGGAGATGGAAA